GTAAAGAACTCCATGCCTTTGCTAGGTCTCTATGTGTTTATCAAGATCATGCTAAACTCACTGCAAAGCACCTGTCATGCAAGGAAGTAAAGGTAGAGCTAAATTGCCAGTATAGGCATTGATCTTGTTAGTGGCAGCATAAAAATAATTCAGGAAGTGGAACAAACCCCAGAAACACATAAGGAAAAAAATTTATTATTAGATGCCTAGCATGTTTCTTTTAAGTAAGACTTAGTTAAATTGTACATGCAAGAATATTAAATTAAAGCAAAATGCAGTTTACTATATATATATATATATATATATATTGCAATTATGAGACAGCAAGGTCAAATTTTCAAAGTATTTAAGAGGTACCATATGACTAGCGGACTGCGTTGGGACCAGCATGACCTTCTCAACAATTTAATCATTTTAATCCCAATTGGATTAAGTTCATACATATATTCACCACCCACAAAACTTCCTGTGCTATTTTGGTCTTTCTTCATTGCGTTTGAAAGCCAAGGAAAAATTCAGTTCTTTATGGGCTGAGCTAGCAATAGAAATTATTCTGGTAAGCTTTTATATTCTTAGAAAGGAAAACTTACTCTAAGAAAGGTCTGACAACAAGTCACTCCTAAAATTGACATCACTTTATTATAGTCGAAAATATTTTGTGAGAGTTTTATACTTAAGGGTAGTGATAAACTTTTCTTTCCCCCTTAAAGAAAGTTTCTGTTTCATGACTTAAATGATGTTATTAATCTTGCTTTGTGTATGTTACACCTGCAGATTGCAACGCTTGTAACTGTATATATTTTATCAATTGTGATAATACAATCATTCATATTTTACCAGGCCTACTTAGTAATTAAAAATCTACACACAAAGAGGACCATCTGATGTATTAAATTTAATAAACCACTGAAAGACAGCAGGTTCTATGTTTGTACTTATATCACTATTCTCAATTTTAGATTTCTCTACAATTAACCTACTGTTCCCAAGGGATAAATAACTCCTGATGGTGCTAATGTTTTGTGAATGACCCATAGAAACACCAAAGAGAGAGCCATTTTTTCCTATCAGTTTATGAAAAGGGCCAGTTTGACTCTGGTTTAAATAAACAGCCTTAATTCAAGATGCCAAGTCAGTGACTGCGAAAGAAACTTATACATCAGAACTTCATTTCCCTTTAACAACATTTCCCTTTGCTTTAGTGAGCAAAGTAGGAAAGATATATTCAGTTTAATGTAACCAACATGTTAAGATTATCTTAACTGACCTGTGATCATGAAATGACAGCAGTGGTTATGCATGATGGAGCACAAAAGAGCAATGTTGGATTTTCCTTAATGATATTAATTTTGTCTTTTGCTTTCTGTTCAACTGTGCTTTTTAAAACTAACAATTAATATTTACACAATCTACTCCTAGTAGGGAGTACATACAGAATCCAAATTCTATATTCTCCTGTCAGAGAAAAACAAAGGCAAACCCAGAGTTCATCTCCACGGCTGGCATGTTATTGACTGATTTTGGGCTCTTATATTGGTTCTTTTGTATTCAGTTCTTTTTATATTAGTGTAGCCTGAGTTTTTCGTGAAAACAGTCTTAAAATTAGAATAAAATACTGCAGTTATTGTAACTAGGGTCACAAGACCATTCTCATCTTTAATTCTAACTTCTTTGGAGAGCAAAACAAGACAAGACAGAAGTGAAAATAAGATATTTCATTCCAATTTCACATTTCTTATTCTTTACAATGTTTTATAGAATACAACATCGGAAGACACTTAACTTCAGTCCATCAAATCTGCTTTAAAAATAGAAAGAATTGAAACTTCAAATAAGTTATCTTTGCTTTCTAAGTGCTCCTTGTAATCCATGGGTTGAACCCAACATGAATTTGGCTTTGTGGACACACATGGTAGATCTAATTTAACCCCAGGATATGTACATCAACTGTAAAAGTGTATTTTTCACTTTGGGGGGAAAAATTCTCTGTTCCTTTCAGAGGGCAGTACATAGCCCTTTATTAAGGAAGGTTT